TCACCCTGGACCTGGAGCCAGTACCCCCTGAACCCACCCAAGGCTGCCCTCTGGACCCGCCAGGCAGAGAAGGGACCTCTGGTGAGTGTACCTTTTAAAATACTATACATGGTTTAAAAGCAAGCATGTTTAATGATTAATTTCCCCTGGCATTTGCGGCTCTCCTGGATGTATTCCCAAAGCCTTTGCAGAAGGTTTCTGGGGAGGGCAGCCTTATTCCATCCACCATGGTAGGACACTTTACCACACCACACCAGTAGCACGTACTCAGGAATCATTGTAGAACAAAGCATTGCAGTGTATGTTTGCTGGCATTCAAACAACATCCGTTCTTTATCTCTCTGTGTTATCCTCAGGAGAGTGATATCATTCATGGTCACCTGATTGAAATAGGGTGCTTTTCTTAAGGGGACATTCAGAGGTGCCCACTCCTGCTGGGCTGTTTGCCTATGGCTGAACAGAAATGTTCCCCGCTGTTAGCCACAGGGAAGGGTGAGGGGCTAGCGACGTGGTGAGGGGAGGCAAAATGCAACCTTGGAACAAAAGCACATGTGCTGTGTATGTAATGTTAACAGCAAGGTTTACCGTGAAAGAGTGTAGCCATTGTACTAGAAAATGTGTCTTTTTAAATACCACTGTCTTTTTTTTCTTCTCCACCAGCTGCATGTGTTTCAAGGATCACAGGATCTTCTCCTTCCCCGAGGCTAGTGAAGATTAGAAAGTGAAAAAAACACACTCGTGATGAAATGTTCTCTGAGCTCATGCTGTCCTCCCACACTGACAGAGCACAGACGAATGGGTGGAGGCAGACAATGTCAGAGTGCAGGAAAGCACAAAATGACTGGGAGGAGAGGTGGTGGGCTGAAGAGAGAGGGTGAAGCTGAAAGGTGGCGGCAGCGTGATGAGAGGAGGCAGGATTCAATGCTGAGGCTGCTGGAGGATCAAACCAATATGCTCCAGCGTATGGCTGAGCTGCAGGAAAGGCAGCAGGAGCACAGACCGCCGCTACAGCCCCTGTGTAACCAAGCGCCCTCCTCCCCACGTTCCATAGTCTCCTCACCCAGACGCCCAAGAACGCGGTGGGGGGCCTGTGGCCACTCCACCCCAGAGGATTGCCCAAGCAATAGAAGGCTGGCATTCAATAAGTTTTAAAGTGCTGTGTGGCCTTGTCCTTTCCTCCTCCACCCCCCCTCCTGGGCAACCTTGGTCATTATCCCCCTAATAATGGGGGGTGTGATGAATGAATAAAGAGTGCATGAATGTGAAGCAACAATGACTTTATTGCCTCTGCAAGTGGTGATAGAAGGGAGGAGGGGAGGGTAGCTAGCTTAAAGGGAAGTAGAGTGAACCAAGGGGCGGGGTGTTTCATCAAGGAGAAACAAACAGAACTTTCACACTGTAGCCTGTCCAGTCATGAAACTGGTTTTCAAAGCTTCTCTGATGCACACCGCATCCTCTTGTGCTCTTCTAACCGCCCTGGTGTCTGGCTGTGCGAAACCAGCAGCCAGGCAATTTGCCTTAACCTCCCACCCTGCCATAAACTTCTCCCCCTTACTCTCACAGATATTGTGGAACACATAGCAAGCAGTAATAACAGTGGGAATATTGGTTTCACCGAGGTCTAACTGAGTCAGTAAACTGCGCCAGTGTGCTTCTAAACATCCAAATGCACATTCTACCACCATTCTGCACTTGCTCAGCCTGTAGTTGAACAGCTCCTGACTACTGTCCAGGCTGCCTGTGTATGGCTTCATGAGCTATGGCATTAAGGGGTAGGCTGGGTCCCCAAGGATATCTATAGGCATTTCAACATCCCCAACAGTTATTTTCTGGTCTGGGAATAAAGTCCCTTCCTGCAGCTTTTGAAACAGACCCAAGTTCCTGAAGATGCGAGCGTCATGTACCTTTCCCGGCCATCCCACGTTGATGTTGGTGAAACGTCCCTTGTGATCCACCAGTGCTTGCAGCACTATTGAAAAGTACCCCTTGCGGTTTATGTACTCGCCGGCTTGGTACTCTGGTGTCAAGATAGGGGTATGGGTTCCGTCTATAGCCCCACCACAGTTAGGGAATCCCATTGCAGCAAAGCCATCCACTATGACCTGCACATTTCCCAGGGTCACTACCCTTGATATCAGCAGATCTTTGATTGCGTTGGCTACTTCCATCACAGCAGCCCCCACAGTAGATTTGCCCACTCCAAATTGATTCCCGACTGACCGGTAGCTGTCTGGCATTGCAAGCTTCCACAGGGCTATTGCCACTCGCTTCTCAACTGTGAGGGCTGCTCTCATCTTGGTATTCTTGCACTTCAGGGCAGGGGAAAGCAAGTCACAAAGTTCCATGAAAGTGCCCTTACGCATGCAAAAGTTTTGCAACCACTGGGAATTGTCCCAGACCTGCAACACTATGTGGTCCCACCAGTCTGTGCTTGTTTCCCGAGCCCAGAATCGGCATTCCACCGCATGAACCTGCCCCATTAGCACCATGATGCCCACATTGCCAGGGCCTGTGCTTTGAGAGAAGTCTGTGTCCATGTCCTCATCACTCACGTCACCGCGCTGATGTCACCTACTCACCCAGTATCGCTTTGCCAGGTTCTGGTGCTGCATATACTGTTGGATAATGCGCGTGGTGTTTAATGTGCTCCTAATTGCCAAAGTGATCTGAGCGGGCTCCATGCTTGCCGTGGTATGGCGTCTGCACAGAAAAAAGGCACAGAACGATCCTCTGCCATTGCCCTGACAGAGGGAGGGGCAACTGACGACTTGGCTTACAGGGAATTAAAATCAACAAAGGGGGTGGCTTTGTGAGAAACTGAATGGCCCACCTCAAGGATAGAACTCAAAACTGGGATGAGCAGGCCGTTGATTTCACAGAGGGAGGGAGGAGAAAATGAATACAAAACAAATCTGGTCTATTTCTTGTTTTGAGCCACTTCATCTATCTTTATACATCTTGCTAGCAGCAGACTGTGCAGTACGACCGCTAGCCATCATCATCTCCTGGGTGCTCAGCAGAAGACGACTAGCCATCATCTTCTGCTAGCTGGAGGTTAAAAGACAGTGCACTGCCAGTCGGACTCAATCGCCACAAGGTGAAACAAGGGAAATGACCTGGCTGAGTCACTCCCATGTTTGCCCAGGCGCCCGGTTAAAAGAGCACCCAGGACTACGTCGATGACCGCTACCAGTCATACTGCACTGTCTGCTGCTAAAAGGCAGTAAACTGCTGCTGTGTAGCAATGCAGTACCACGTCTGCCAGCACCCAGGAGACATACGGTGACAGCTGAGCAGGCTCCATGCTTGCCGTGATATGGCGTCTGCACAGGTAACTCAAGGAAAAAGGCGCAAAACGATTGTCTGCCCTTGCTTTCACGGAGGGAGGGAGGGAACGGGGGCCTGACGATACGTACCCAGAACCACCCGCGACAATGTTTTAGCCCCATCAGGCACTGGGATTTCTACCCAGAATTCAAATGGACAGCGGAGACTGCGGGAACTGTGGGATAGCCACCCACAGTGCAATGCTCCGGAAGTTGACGGTTGCCTCGGTACTGTGGACACACTCCGCCGACTACATGCACTTAGAGCATTTGTGTGGGGACACACACAATCAACTGTATAAAAATGCTTTCTACAAAACCAACTTCTATAAATTCGACCTAATTTCATAGTGTAGACATACCCTAAGGTGCCACAAGTACTCCTGTTCTTTTTGTCTTGGCCTCTCTGGCACACTTCCTGGGCACAGCCTTTCTGTTCCCATTTCTGTGAAAGGGTCTCTCGCCTAGAGTGACCCTCTTTTCAAAAAGCAAAAGCGAGACACATGTAGGAGCGCTGCACGCCTTTCTCCTCCTCTGCCCCCTGGCCAGGCCAGAAACTGGAGCTTGACAGTGGTAAGAGCTGCCCAGGGAGCCCAGACCACTGTGGGGAGTCCTGGACCCCCCACCTACCTAGACAGGGTGCCCAAGAGCAGCCCCCAGTCTGTGTCCCTGATCTCTCCCCCCCCCCCCCCGCCCCAGAGATCAGTCTCATACCAGGTGATCTGTTGCTTAGTTACCAGCCTGGCTGGGCAGAATCAGTTTTTTTGGTTTGGCCATATTTATTGTACCGCCTATATAGACCTGTTCAAATGTCAGATTCTTAATATTCAGCACATCCGGCCGTGCAGGTGCCACTCCTGTCTCCTTTGTACATGGAGTATGAAGCAAGAACACAGTACAGGTAACCTGAAAGGTTTAAGCACACAGAGAATTAATTTGCTGAAACAGAATTTGTAAATTGTGCGTCGTCAGTTTCCCTAAATTGTCACAAGGTGAAAAAGGAAATGCCACCCTCTCCCTCTGAGCCTGGCAAATTGGCAACTTATGAGACCATGTATGCCATGGGGCTGCATACCATTTTCATGGTGATGTCAATGCCACCAATAAAGTGACTCCAAGGTCACAGGTGCTGTGCTTGTTGGACAATGACTATAGCCAGGCTCAGATGCCTCTACTCACAGCCTTTCAAAGTAGGACATCTCAGAATAGGGGCAGGCGCTCAGCAAACACATCTTTGGATTTAGGGTGTTATTGGTCTTAAGGATTTCAAACCCTTTGTGTGGCTTTTGATGCTCTCTTTCCTCTTGGGCTTAAACTTCTTAGACTGACTTGAGCCAGTGGAGAAGTTGACAGAGTTAGCAAGGCAGCTGGGGTTGGTTAGTGTCACTCCTACAAGTGTGGGGGCCAGTACGGTACACTTTCACACTGGTTATTTGTTGTGGATTCTGCTAAAATAGTAGTTAGTTTCTATTTTATTTTGATTGTTGGATGACTGAGTAGGGGATTTTTGGATCGAAGACCAAGTTGGACGGGCCCTGGCCAGCCTCTGACTATGCAAAGGCAGGCCACATCTTGGAGCTGAGTCCCTTGATGGTGGTCCTAGCCTGAGGATTGAGGGGGAGGTTCCCCTCACTCTCCACCTAATTCTATCTCTCTCCTGATCTCTCTGCTCAGCTTGGAATTGCAGTGGGCTTTGTTCTCCCTCCCGTTCTGGTTCCCAACTTGGAGGACACAGAACAGCTGGCCTACCACATCAGCATCATGTTTTTCATCATTGCAGCTGTGGCAACGGTGCTCTTCATCCTCGTCATCATTGGTAAGGAGGTGAATGTAAATGTGTGGGAGGGATGAAGCTGAGAGGACCAGATTGTGTTTATGGGTCTCTGTATCAGGGAGGGCATGTGGCAGCCCACTAGGGGCGATCTGGGGCAGTGCCCCAGCATAGCACCTGCTTCTGTTCACATACAGGGTCACTTCTTCAGCTGGTTAAAGCTGAACCTAAGAAGGGCAGAGGTGATGCCAGTGGGCGGAGCAAAGCACTTTGAAGAGTTTGCAGCCATGGTGCAGTCTCCTTTGAAGGCACACACCCCCAATTGGTCAGTTTGTTCAAAAGTTAGGAATTTTCTTAGATTCCTCACTGAAACACTTAGCTCTTACATAGCATCTGCAAGCTTTCTAATCTCTCAGTTGGCGAGGAGACTATGTCCCATCCTGGTAGATGATGTCCTGGCCTCAGTTATTCACACCTTCACTTCTCAGGTGGACTACAGCAATGCGATATACCTGGGTATGAAGTCTTCAGTACCTAGGAAACTCCAACTAATACAGAACACTGCAGAATGTCTCCTCAGCAGCACAAGCCAACATGAGCAAACCTGTCCTCTACTCTCCCATGGAATTTCAGATCAAATTCAAGATCTTGGTCCTTATCTTGGAGGCACTGCATTGCCTAGGTCTAGCATATCTAAAAGATCACAAAGTTCTGAGATGAAGACTGTGGTTGACAGCTCTGCTCCTCTGGTACAATGTAACTCTACATTAAGGGTCTTATCTGACCAGAAGACAGAGCTTTATTGGGGGGCTAGTCTGAGACTGTGGAGTGAACTCCCCCAAGAATTAAGGACCATAGAATCATAGAAATATAGGGCTGGAAGGAACCTTGAGAGGTCATTTCATCCATCCTGCCGCGTTGAGGGAGGATTAAGTATACTTAGGCCACGCCTAATGGGTGTTTGTCTAATCTGTTCTTAAAAACCTCCAATGGTGGGGATTCCACCACCTCCCTTGGAAGCCTGTACCAGAACTTAACTACCCTTATAGTTGAAAAGTTTTTTCCTAATATCTAACCTAAATCTCCCTTGCTTCCGATTGGCTTGTTGTCCTGCTGTTCTCAGTGGATGAGGAAGAACAACTGGCCACCCTCATCTTTATAACAGCCCTTAACATATTTGAAGACTGTTAGCAGTCCACCAGACCATCTCAAACCTCCCCAGCCTTCCACTCTAAGTACAAAGCATACTTCTTCAACCAGTCTTCTCTAATATATATACAGAGCAACATGTATATTTTATAAAACAACAACAAGCAAGCCCTAAAGTCCTACCAAAACAAAACACTCCATTGCACATGCTTCTTCTCATGGGGAGAGGATAAGAGAAAGTGAAAGTGAGTGAGGGTTGGGGAGAGCGAGTGACGGAGGGATGGGGGATGGAGTGAGTGGAGGCAGGGCCTCAGAGAAGGGACAGGGCAGGGGCGGGGCCTTGGGGCAGGGCAAGGGTGTTTGGGTTTGTGCGATTAGACTGTTGGCATCCCAATGCTGAGCACTGAACAGCTATAAAATTTCAACTGACAGGCAACGACTTTCCCAGCTGCTTCCTCTGAGGGTAGGGGCTAGTAGTGCTGGAGTTTCCTTTATCTTAGATTTCAGAGCACCAGGGAGGTGTGTGTTTTTATAAACTTTGGTTTCCCTGCCTCACCCCACAACATCTCCCCGACTCTCTGGGCCCAGATTCCCTGAGGCCCTATTGTTGACAGGTCCATTCTGTTTGTTTCCAGTGTTCCGAGAGAAGCCCCCGTTTCCCCCAAGCCGGGCCCAGGCCTTGATCCAGTTGAAGCCACCTGAGGAATATTCCTACGTGCAGTCCATCCTCAGGCTGCTCCGCAATACCAATTTTGTCCTGCTGATAGTCGCTTATGGTAAGGTCCAGTCTCGGCTCTGCTAAGTGACAGGTGAAGGCGGAGATCTTCCTGCTACTTTGTGTGCCAGAATGGGTCCTCCCTTGACAATGCTGACCAGTATCTGGCCTGCTAGCAGGAGAAAAATCTTCCTTGCTCACAGTCCCTCCCCCAGGCAGATCTGGAGCAAGTCATTATCTGGAATAACCTGCTCAGTTATAATATGGGTGAAGAGCTGCTAAACGCTTGGCAAGTGCGTGGCCTCCAAGAGACCCCATGGAATCAGCAAGGGGGAAGGGGTTGTGGAGGGACTAGAGTGAGTATGGACATAGCTTGTGGTCTTCAGGAAACCCCCACCCCCAAGAAGCCAGAGGGAGGGAGTTTAAGGTCCCCTCTACTTGTGTTTATCCTGCTAAGTCTGCTGCTCACTTCTCCCTCTGCAGCACTCTCAGAAATGGGCCCCTTGATTTGTTTGCATGGGTATGGTGGGGGCCTGAGGTGCAGGTTCTGCTTTGACACTATAATTTTGTCATCTGATGAAGCAGTTCCCCTAGTAAGAAGGGGAGGATGACTTTGCTATGGTCTATTGGCTGTGCTCAGTGCCTCTAGTGACCCACCCAAGCGGTGAACAGCAGCCTCTGTACCCCAGTAGGATGTATTCTAGCCAGCTGCAGGGAACTCTAGGAAGTTGTTCTGTGTGTGAATGTGTCACACTTGGTTCTAGGTGTGACATGGTTTCTGGCATAGGCTGGCTCTGTTCTCAGTGCCTGGCAACAGAAAGCTCCTTGTTGGAGAAGCCCCTCAGGAGAAGGGAATAATGGGATACACAGTACATAGGGAAAGCTTCTGGTTGCAGTGTGGAGCACAGTCAGGGATCTCCAGCCCCCTCACAGGTTTTTCTGCCAACACAAGTAGCTAATGGAACATCTGAGTTATTAACAAGGGCTGGGGACAGTGTGATGTTCGCTTTGGAGCTGCAAAAGGCCTACTAGGTCATTTAGTCCTTTCTCCCTGGGGAGTGCAGTAGAGCTTTCTAGAAGTGACCCTCAGATGTCCCAGGTTACTCCTGCCATTTCCCAGATCACTTAGTCCTGTACTGCAACTTCTCTTCCCCTCTCCCATCCGGCTGCCCCCGAGCTTCGTATCGAGGAGCTGGAGATAGTCCCAGGATTGTTCTGTGTCTGATGCCCTCTGAGAAAATCAGATACAGACGCTGGCTGAAAGTCTGTCCTTGATGTGCCCATCAAACTGTGTGGGTGTAAGTGTGAAGAAGGGGAAGGGATCAGTTACTAGTTAGAGCGACCCAGTACTGGTGATGAGAAGGGCCTCTCAGTGTGAAGAGTTTCTTTAGAATCTGTTCTTCCTTGGATAATTTCTCCTTTTAGAGCAGGGGTTGGCAAACTTTTTGGCCTGAGGGCCATATCTGGGTATGGAAACTGTACGGGAGGCCATGAACGCTCACAAAATTGGGGGTTGGGGTGCAGGAGGGGATGAGGGCTCTGGCTGGGGGTGCAGGCTCTGTGGTGGGTCCAGAAATGAGGAGTTCAGTGTGCGGGAAGGGCCTCCGGGCTGGGGCAGGGTGTTGGAGGGTGTGTGTGTGTGGGGGGGGGGGGGGGGTTAGGGGTGCAGGTTCTGGGGTGGGGGCTGAGGATGAGGGTTTGGGGTGCAGGAGGGTGCTCCTGGCTGGGACCAAGGGGTTCGGAGGGCAGGAGGGGGATCAGGGCTAGGGCAGGAGGGGGATCAGGGCTAGGGCAGGGGCTTGGGAGGGAGTCAGGGGTGCAAGCTCTGGGTGGCGCTTACCTCAAGCAGCTCCCAGAAGTAGCGGCATGTTCCTCACTCCGGCACGGCTAGGCAGCTCTGTATGCTGCCCTGTCTGCAGGTGCCACCCCTGCAGCTCCTATTGGCTGTAGTTCTTGGCCAATGGGAGCCGTGGGGGCAGCGCTTGGGGTGGGGGCAGCATGTGGAGCCCCTTGACTGCCCCTACGTGTAGGAGCCAGAGCAGGGCATACTATTGCTTCCAGGAGCTGCGCAGAGCCACGGTACACACAGAGCAGGCAAGCCCGACCCCCGCTCCCTGACTGGAGTGGAGCAAACCTTGGATCCTGCTCCCTAGCAGGAGCTCGAGGGCCAGATTAAAATGTTTGCAGGCTGTAGTTTGCCCACCCCTGCTCTAGAGTCACTGGGGGATTTGAAAAGGCTGTTTAGTGACTTTGACACTTCAAAGTCTCTTCCTCCTGGCTTGTGTTTTTTTTCTCCTCTGCTCACTTGGTTCTGCCCGACTCACCCTTGACTTTCAGTTCCCTAACAATAAAGATAAAGCGACTGAGACTTAGAGGGCCCAAAGCAATGAAGTGCTTTGTGCGTGTCTGAGGGCTTGTCTGCACTTACAGCACTGCATGGGTGCAGCTGCGCCACTGTAGCGCTTAATGAAGACACTACCTACGCTGATCAGAGTACTCCACCTCCCTGGGAGGCGGTAGCTATGTTGATGGGTGAAGCCCTCCTCTTAAGATAGTGCTGTCTACCCCCGGGGTTAGGTTGGTATAAATGCATCGCTCATGTGTGTAGTGTGACAAAGCTCTGTCCTTGCCTCCGTGGGTCGTGCGTTTCCTGGCAGATTTCACTAGCCTCAGAGGCTCACTGCATGTAACCCTTCTTTCTCTAGGGCCAAGGGTCAGAGTCTGCTGAGACATTTTCATCATAAGCCAGCAAAGGAAGTGAGGAGAAGTTATCCTTCCTTGCATAGTCTCTGTTGTCTCCCAGTCTCAGTGATTAATCAGGGGGCAAAGTTGTAGGGGGGGGTGGAGGGGGGGGAAGGGAGCCTAGGCCCACCCTCTACTCTGGGCTCTAGCCCAGGGACCCTAATAGTATCAGCTATGGTAGCTGACCTTTTAGAAACATGACGTGTACAATTCCCTGGGCTACTTCCACCACAGCAGACCTCACTTCCTCAAGCTCTACTTCACCCTTACCTCAGGGCCTCCTTCCTTGTGCCTGATATGGTGTGTACTACTCAGCCTCTCCAACAGCATTAATTAATTAATTAATTAATTAATTAATTACTTACTTACTTGCTCCTGACATGCACACCCACCTGACTAACTGGGAGGCTTTTAACTAGTTTCAGCCAGCCCCTGATTGGCTTCTGGTGTCCCAATCAACCTAGCCTTCTCCCTGCCTTCTGGAAAGTTCTTAATTGGCCCCAGGTGTCTTAATTGACCTGGAGCAGCTGCCATTTCACTTATCCTGGTACCAGGGATTTGTTTAGCCTGGAGCTAATATATCTATCTCCCACTACTTTTCTATAGCCATCTGGCCTTGCCCCGTTACAGTAGATATTTCATAGGTTAACATGCATTGTTTGACATGCAGCTTTGAGCTGAAACAACGGTAGGTAGAGGACATGTGCTGACCTTTCATGCTCCTTCTTCCTATCCCTGAAGCTACAGCCAGTGAAGTGTCCCTTAGTAAACTCTGTGTTCCAGAGTGGGGGGTGAAGTGGGCCAACAGCCTCGTCAGATTCCTCTGTGCATTCCTTCCAGGGCCAAATCTTGTGAAGAGCAAGGTTCAGCACTCTGGGGTATGTTCCTGCTGCCGGCTCCCATTGCAGAGTTTTCCCTGGTGTCCCTCCTATCTTATCTCTCTGGAGGTTACTGACCCACCTGGAACTCACTCTTGTACTAGGTGTCTTTTGGAGTGAATGGGATGGGTGTTTCCTGTCCAGAGAGCATGTCAGAAACTGATAACATGCTGATCCCCTCCTTTGCTGCTGCGCCTCTCAGGAGTTCATGCTGTTCAATCTGGCTCAGTCTCCCTTGCGGCTATGTGTGTCTGTCTGCTGGATATATTCTACTCTAGTTAGATCCCTGTACCACACTCAGCACCATGAACCTAGTTCAATGTGTTGGCAGAGGCTGGACATGGGGGAGATGTGAACTTCCCTCCAGCAGCTGCTGCTGCTGCTGCACCACTCAAGGCTTTTTGAGGTCAAAGCGCTTCATAAACGCTGGTGTGTGTGGGTGTTGCCACTCTACTGTTGGGGGAAACTGAAGCATGGGGAGGGGAAGTAACTTGCTGCAGGTTGCAGAGGAGGAGTCAGTGTCAGAGCTGGGATTAGAGCTCAGGAGTTCCTGTCTCCCCATCCTGTGCTCAGGCTACTATACTCCTCCTTTCTTCTGTACCCTGGGGTGCTTCCTGCTGTTCACTCAGGCTTTGAGAGAGAGAGAGAGAGGATGGGGGTGTGGGAATTTTGCACTTGACTGGGTTTTAAGGATTGCAGATGTCTCGACACAGAGACTTTAAACCTTGTTTATCCCGAGCACAGGGATGTGTGGTCTGTGACTGGTGGAACCTATGATCCCCACCCACTGTCACAGTGATCACTGAAGCCTTAAAGAGAAACCAGTTGCAAATGTGCATGACTTTCTGAGAAGAGGATTGAATTGACCATTATGGGTTTTGCCCACATGGGAAAGCTTTTTCAGCTTAATTTATGGTGAGAAATTAAATCAGTAGAGTAATACTGGTATGACCCCCTGTGTGGACACTTTTATTCTGGTGTAAGGGTGGCTTTTTTGGTGTAGCTTGTATCCCTTGGGAAGGGGTTTAAACTAAAGCAAAGCGACTCTTATAGTGGAATAAAGTGTCCACACAGGGGTAGGGTTATACTGGCATTACCATCTCTTTAAGACATCAGTGATCTTTATGTGTGACTGATCATATTTTCCCAAGTACACGAGCCCATAGTGGCTTGGGAAGGTGCTGTTACTGCTCAGCAAACTGCTTAGCTCCTACTCAGTTACTAGGACTTCTTGGCTGGAAGAGCCCACTTCTTCTGGCTATTGCTGTGGGGAGTGAGCGAGTTCCGCTTTGTGAGGAAGCCTCCAGCTGGGACATCTCTTCCAGCTCACACTAGGTCACTGGCCTTGGCACTGCAATGTTAATTGGATCTGAGCTCCTCAAGGGAGGCTCTGCCAGCCCAGCACTAATCTGGGTGCGAGGTTGGAATTCTCTCTTGGCTGGTTGGAGTAGGTGGTAAATGAGTTCAGTCAAGAATGAGTCTGGCTGTGAGCAGCTTACTGACCCCAACATAGCCCAGGCCAGTCATTCTGTGGCTGTCATGCTAGGGCAGGACATGGAGGTCAGGAGAGCTCATTTGTGAGCTGTGCCACCCAGTGGTTAGAGAAGAGTGATTGTACTAGAGGGAGGAGGTGCTGGGGCCTGGATCCACTGAACCCCCTATCAGCTCTAAAAAGTGTGCGACCTCCCTCCACTCAGATAAAAAGCAACTCTGAGACTGCAGGGTTTGGCCCACTCACTGAGCTGAGATATAACTCGCCTTGGCTGGCCCAGCAGCCCCTCACCTTCCCTCCAAATGTAGCCCCTCTGCTAGCTGACATGGCGAAGGCAGCCAGTTGTTCTGCAGGCTCCCCAGCCCCGTTGTAAAACACTGTCCTCACACTCTCAGTGCCTGATGCCTGGGTCTCTTCTGCATCTCTGGATTAGAACATCCACACTCAGTGGAGCCCTCTCTAGGTCCCCAACCTTTCTTCACCCAGCAGGAGAATGGCAGGCTGTGAATATGCTGTGTTTTTATCCACCTCTCAGGTTTGAACACTGGTTGCTTCTATGCCCTGTCCACTCTGCTGAACCGCATGGTGATCCAGAACTATCCAGTAAGTACCTGTGACATGCTCTCCTACAGCATTGCTGTCAAAAGAAAGTTTGTATAGGGCACAGTGCAACAGCACCTCCTGCTGAGAGAGACTGGTACTGGAGCTACCGTGCATTTCCTCTGCATCAACCAGCGCTCCTATCCCTGTTCCTTGCACCATCTTCTGCTGGAAGAGAATTGGGCTGGTGAGCTCCACCAAGGGCTATGCCCCTATACCATAATCAGTTGGGCTTTCTTCTGTTAACTCACCCAATCACTGCTTGTGCCCTATTCCCTACAGCAGCAGTTCTCAATCTTTTTCTTTCTGAGCACCCCCTCCAATATGCTACAGAAATTTCAGGGCATGAGGGGTGGGGGGGTGTCTGGGCTTCAGCCACTGGGCCAAGCGGGAGGAGCTCGGAGTTCTTCCCTGAGGGGCACCAGGGCTCGGGCTCTGGCCCCCGGGCAGGCCTCAGGCATAGGCATAGTTTGACTTCTGTTTTGGGGAGGGCGGAACCTGGCGGAACTTGGGCCAGCTCTGCACAGTGGGGTCTGGGGAGGGAGCACCAACTCTACCCCCTGACTCACCTCAGCAGGCCACCCAGGATTGCAGGGGGGTGCACCCAAAAATTATAACTCAAAGGGGGTGGGGTTTCAGCTCAAAAAGTTTGAAACTGCTCAGGGTGCGGGTTGGGGATAGCTAGGAGCTGTGTGCAGAGAGGGGTGTAGCTGAAGGTGCAGGCAGAGGGGCAGCTAGGGGCTGTGTGGTTGCTGCTCCCTGAAGGCTGTGCTGGTCCTGGAGCTGGGTCCCCCCGACAGGGCCGCTCTTACCAGCTGCAGCAGTAATCAAAGGGTGCTGGGAGCTGAGGAGCAGCCGCAGCCCCGGGCACTATCAGCAGCAGGAGATGGGGGAGTGCCAGGGCCAACTGTTTCATGGCACCAGCCAGAGCAGCAGCAGCTGCCCTGCACTGCCCGTCTCCAGCTTCCCGCCTCCGACCTGGCCAGGAGCAGGGGGGAGAGGAGAAGGTGGGAGTGTGGAGCCGCTCCCAGGGCTGCCCCAGTCTGGTTATGGTACTGCAGTTTGGCGGGGCAAAGCCCCTCATGCCCCCCCCCAAACTGCACCCATGGGTTATGGGCTTTGCCTTGTGGGGCACCAGGGCTCAGGCTCGCAAACCCCCTGAAATCGGCTCGTGGACCCCCAGAAGGCCATGGACCACTGATTTGAGAACCGCTGCCCTACAGCACTACCAGCTGGGAGCCTCCTGACAGTCATTGCTCCTGCACCTTTCACTACTTTGCCTTCCTATGGAGGAGAGGGGAGTGCTCCATAGCTAGGGCTTCTGTAACTTTCCCTAAAGCACCTACTGCTGGGAAAGGCTAGGACTGGGATACCTGGGAGCATCTTTTCTCTGGGGTTACCCTACATTCCTGGTAAATCCTGAACAAGCTGACCCAAAAACCAGTACTGGACAGCAAGCTTTGAAAGGCCTTTAGTATCTCCTCCTCTGAGGCCCTTTCAGCCATCCATCCCTGCTTGCTGTTGGCCATTAACTAGTTCCTGTATTGATGTGTGTCTTCCCACAGGGGGAGGAGGTGAATGCTGGAAGAATTGGACTCACCATTGTAGTGTCTGGCATGGCTGGAGCTCTGCTTTCTGGCATCTGGTTGGATAAAACCAAAACCTACAAGTAAGTCCCTTGCACTCGTTTCTCCACAACTCCATCCTACTCTCTGCCACATGGAAGGCAAACCCCAGGGGAGGCAGCTCTGCCTTTCAATGGCTTGACAAGGTGGGTGAAGTAATATCTTTTATTGGACCGACTTCTGTTGGTAAGAGAGACAAACTTTCAAGCTTGTTACAGAGCTCTTCCTCAGGTCTGGGGCAGCGGGGTGGGGGAGAACAACTGAACAATCACCCTGCAGTAAAAGCAAGAATTTGGAGCAGCATATTAGCTCATTTGGGGAGTTTCCTGAGCCCAGGAGATACCAGCCACACTTTTTGGTTCTGGAGCTACTCATTCCTTCTTTGATGCACAAGGTACTGGAGCTACTTCTCCAGGATTCCTATGTGCCTCTGGTTTATTTCTGGTGTTCGTGTTTAGGGATTAATGGGTTTGGGTCTGGCCTATCGTGAGGGTAGAGATTATTTGTGTGTGGACAGACAAACATCCGCTTCCACCAGATAAGAACTTACACAGAGTTGTCTTGTCAAGGGCTGTACAGAGGGAGCTGAAAGGAGGAGAGCTGCTTTTTGGGAGCTGGGGCAGGGCCAGAGCAACCTGCATAGGCACGAAAGGCTAGGGTTCGGGTATGAATTGTCAGTGTGTGGGAGATTTCTTTGGGGAAGGGTAGGTGGGAGAGCAGGGGTCTGGGGAGCCCCTCCTCCTTGGGAGAAAGGGGGTAAGTTGAGGGTGCATTTCTCTCAGGGAAACAGAGTGAGGCAGACTTCCATGTCTGACTTCTTTCTTGCTGTCTTGTCTTGTGTCTGGAAGCTGAGAGAGAGCAGTGTGGTGTTCTGCCCCTGCATGGCTCTGGTCAGGTTCCCAGTACCCTGGGAAGAAAGGGGTAGAAATGGCCCAGGGCTGCTTTGTCAAGGCTGAGATAGTTCCCAGCGTGGCAGGAACCATACAGTACCAGACCTGTTCTCTGCCTCACAAACCAGCATCTGAGAGTCTCTGTTCTAATTAGTGAAAGGTCCATTGAGTCCTGTGCCCAGAGGCACTTTGTGTGTGTGTGTGAGAGACACCTTATTGAAGGCAGAGTCTTATGGAGCGATGCATGTGGGGGTGGGAACTGGGGTCAGATTAGGGTTTGGTACTTATGGGTACACTTGGCAGAACGTGCTGCCATCTGTGAATGTACAGCTAAAGGTCCCTGTGTTGCCTGCAACTTTAGACTGGGGGCTTTCCCAGGGGCCAGATCTTTCTTGGTGGGAGTCTCTGCTACCCTAGTTCACTCAATCTTTATGCAATGAGCCTTGACTGGCCTGATTACAGTGAGCCCCCGTATGCTAGCTAGGGATCTGGGTGATCAACTTCCCCGCACCAACTGGCCAAAGCCAGTTAAGGTGGTGGTCACCTGCTTCCCTTGCAGGCCAGAGTAGACAGGGCTTTATTCTAATAGCAGGAGATGGGAAGAAGGCTGCTTCCATGATCTTTCCCTTCCAGGACCCACCACAGCATTTATTCTGGCTCTGGTAGCATGGCCTATCCACAGTAAGGGAAAACTTCCCAGGACCTTCTACCCCTGGGTGGGTATGTTTAGGGCCCACAGCTTGTTTGGGTATCCCCAGCTGTAGTTCCAGCCATCAGTACTGGCAGGTCCAGGGACCAAGTCTAGAGCAGAAACTGATCTTTTGGGCCAACCCTGAGATGGCAGATGAGGACTCATGGGGGTACTGGGGAGCAGGGAGAAAAGCTGGAGCAAATGATCACTAGATAGGCTGGCCAGTCACTTACTTCTGTTTCTGGATGCTGTGTGCAGCTGGGCTGGGTTAATGTGCATTTCTTTTGGCAGCTGTGGCTACTGTAACCCTATGGGGTGGGAACACACGCTGTCACTAACTGCATTTTTGCTGCTCTGTAATTTGCAGCCCCTAACAACTCTGTCATGCTGGCAACATGGCCCAGACTGGCACAGCTATGGCATGTGACATTCCCGACTCTCCCAAATGGAGCTATATTGCTGCACAGAGATCACAGTGTAAGGGATTTGTGGTTGCACAGTAGGAGCTGGGAGTCCACTCTCAGCAGTGTGAAAATAATCCCCAGTTTGTTCGGAGGGCTGTCATGGGCAGAATGAGCGTGTTTTGTTAGTGCTGGGATTGCCAGCATGGGGTGGGCTAAATTAGTCTTCGGTGCAACCCTGCTGACTAACTTTAGGGAAATGGTAGGATAAACAGCCTAGTGTGAGGAGGGCACTGCCAGGAAATTGGGCTGGTTCAGGCTGTTCATAGGGGTTTCTGTAAAACAGCAAATATTAACAGAACCTTTCCACTGAGAATAAATTTAAAATTCTGAAAAAGCCTGTTGTTTAAATTACCAGTTCCAAGAGGTCAGATGCTATGGTGATGGGGGGGTTGGGGGTGACACAGTGTCACGGACCCAAAGGCTGGGCTATGAGAATCAGGAAACAAAACTACCAAATCCTGTGTCACTTGCCAAGCTGAGAGAAAAGAGTGAACATCCCCCTCCCCTTATCAAAGTAAAGGGCAGTACTCAAAGTTTTTTACCTTGAATTTGCATGAAAGACTAATGCCACTAGGTTGGCTTCCCTGTCTCCCTTAGCCAGGAATGGAATGGCCACGCATTCTCTCCTCCTGCCTGTCAGGAGGGTTTGTGAGTTAGCCCCAGGGTTTCAGAGCTGCTGTCTTTTTGTTTTTTGTTTTTGTTTTTGTTTTAAATCTGGGGTGCATATTTCATTCTGGAAAGCTCATGTTGTGCTCTCACTGAATGTGGTCTGTCAGCAATTAAAAGCTTTGGCAGCTTCTCTGAGTGCAGAGAGACCAGGCCAGCTCTCAAAATAACACATTTTGGCCTCTAGCTTGGTTCCAAGGGTGGGTCAGTGGGGTATATGTTCACTGTGTTGTGTGTAATTTCATCTCCAGTCAGATACAGTCTGTGGTGGAAACCAGAAACCTCCCTGCACCCTCAAGTTTCTGGTTGGGGAGACTTAGATAGTGGGAGGCCACTGGTTTACTCCTTGGGGAATTCTGCCCCCCTGTGTGTGCGCAAAATTCACAGATTTCTTTGCTACCCTGCAGAAAAATGACTTTCTAACGGGGAAGCTGCAAGAGTGGTCATGTGCCCCTCCCCAATAGTGGGATCGTGTGTTTCAGGTGCCTGGAGCAGCAGGGAGAGAGGTAGATCACTGCAGAGGTTGGGGGGCATTCAGATGCCCTGGGCCAGTGCTGGGTCAGACCCCCCCATGCCCAGCCAGAACCCGACACTCCTCCCCGCTGAGCCTTACCCCCTGCACCCAGCCCTCCTCAGCCCCACCTGGTGGCTCCTACCCTGTAGCAGGCTCAGCTACTAGTCCCAGTGCGGCGGGGGGGTGGAGAAGAGTGCACTTTCCCCCCTGCACAGATTGACAAGGGCAGGGTCAGACCCACCCCCAGAAACCTTCCCGGGCTCCGCATCACCCACTTCCTGACCCCATCGCTCTTCAGCTGCGGCGGGAGGGGTCACTATATTGGGAGCTGCATCCCTGTCTGTCCAACCCCAATGCATCCAGACTCCCCCATTCCCAGAGCCCCCCTGCACCCAGCCCTACCTGCTGAGCCTCATCCCGCCTGCATCCGGACCCTGCCAAGCCCCTGCCCCCTCATCCCTGCATCCGGACCTCCACCCCTGCACTCAGCCCCCTGCACTCAAACCCCCACCCCAATGAGCCTCACCCCCATGCACCTGCTCCACCCTGATGAGGCCTCTGCACCTGGGTCCCCACTCCACTGAGCCCCAACCAGCTGCACCTGGACTCCCATCTCACCAAGCCCCACTGTCCCTGCACCCAGACCCCCCCACTGATCCCCCCCACACCCAGACTCCACCTGCCGAGCCCCATTCCCCCACACTTTTAATTTTTAATCTAAAGTTAGGATTAACTGAATTATAAATGCTGTTTTGTTTTTAAATGCTCCTACTGACAGGGGTATTACTTGAATTTTATAAAACTAGTATAGCAAAATCCCAAATACTGAAAATGAAGGCCCTGATCCTGCAGATACTTAAGCAGGTGCGTAACTTGACTCACGTGAATAGTCCCATTGATTTTAATAATGGTTAGTGCTTACAGTTAAACATGCACATAAGTGTTTGTAGCACCAGGAGCTAAAATTATAATTTCAATTAAAAAAAAATCTCTTAGGGACATAAAATCTTTGTCTCGTCAAAACAAAATTGCTTCGGTGTTAGACTAAATAACTTTTCATTGTTTTCTGCATATTAAACCAAGATATTGTGAACTTTTTTATACATACCAGCCAAAACGTTCAAAACTAGGAGCCTAAAGTTCCAGAGCCTGTATTTAGGCACTTAAGGGTATGTCTACACTACGGAATAAGGTCGAATTTATAGAAGTCGGTTTTTTAGAAATCGGTTTTATAAATTCGAGTGTGTGTGTCCCCACAGAAAATGCTCTAAGTGCATTAAGTGCATTAACTCGGCGGAGCGCTTCCACAGTACCGAGGCAAGCGTCGACTTCCGGAGCGTTGCACTGTGGGTAGCTATCCCACAGTTCCCGCAGTCTCCGCTGCCCATTGGAATTCTGGGTTGAGATCCCAATGCCTGATGGGGCTAAAACATTGTCGCGGGTGGTTCTGGGTACATATCGTCAGCCTCCCGTTCCCTCCCTCCCCCCGTGAAAGCAAGGGCAGACAATCATTTCGCGCCTTTTTTCCTGAGTTACCTGTGCAGACGCCATACCATGGCAAGCATGGAGCCCGCTCAGGTAACCGTCACCCTATGTCTCCTGGGTGCTGGCAGACGCGGTACGGCTTTGCTGCACAGTAGCAGCAACCCCTTGCCTTCTGGCAGCAGACGGTGCAATACGATTGGTAGTCGTCCTCATCGTGTCCGAGGTGCTCCTGGCCGCGTCGGCTGGGAGCGCCTGGGCAGACATGGGCGCAGGGACTAAATTTGGAGTGACTTGACCAGGTCATTCTCTTTAGTCCTGCAGTCAGTCCTATTGAACCGTCTTATGGTGAGCAGGCAGGCGATACGGACTGCTAGCAGTCGTACTGTACCATCTTCTGCCAGGCAGGCAAGAGATGAGGATTGCTAGCAGTCGTATTGCACCATCTTCTGCCAGGCAGGCAAGAGATGGGGATGGCTAGCAGTCGTACTGTACCATCTTCTGCCGAGCAGCCATGAGATGTGGATGGCATGCAGTCCTTCTGCACCGTCTGCTGCCAGCCAAAGATGTAAAAGATAGATGGAGTGGGTCAAAACAAGAAATAGACCAGATTTGTTTTGTACTCATTTGCCTCCTCCCCTGTCTAGGGGACTCATTCCTCTAGGTCACACTGCAGTCACTCACAGAGAAGGTGCAGCGAGGTAAATCTAGCCATGTATCAATCAGAGGCCAGGCTAACCTCCTTGTTCCAATAACAACGATAACTTAGGTGCACCATTTCTTATTGGAACCCTCCGTGCAGTCCTGCCTGAAATACTCCTTGATGTACAGGCACCCCCTTTGTTGATTTTAGCTCCCTGAAGCCAACCCTGTAAGCCGTGTCGTCAGTCGCCCCTCCCTCCGTCAGAGCAACGGCAGACAATCGTTCCGCGCCTTTTTTCTGTGCGGACGCCATACCACGGCAAGCATGGAGCCCGCTCAGCTCACTTTGGCAATTAGGAGCACATTAACCACCACACGCATTATTCAGCAGTATATGCAGCACCAGAACATGGCAACGCGATACCGGGCGAGGAGGCGACGTCAGCGCGGTCCCGTGAGTGATCAGGACATGGACACAGATTTCTCTGAAAGCATGGGCCCTGACAATGCATGCATCATGGTGCTAATGGGGCAGGTTCATGCTGTGGAACGCCGATTCTGGGCTCGGGAAACAAGCACAGACTGGTGGGACCGCATAGTGTTGCAGGTCTGGGACGATTCCCAGTGGCTACGAAACTTTCGCATGCGTAAGGGCACTTTCATGGAACTTTGTGACTTGCTTTCCCCTGTCCTGAAGCGCATGAATACCAAGATGAGAGCAGCCCTCACAGTTGAGAAGCGAGTGGCGATAGCCCTGTGGAAGCTTGCAACGCCAGACAGCTACCGGTCAGTTGGGAATCAATTTGGAGTGGGCAAATCTACTGTGGGGGCTGCTGTGATGCAAGTAGCCCACGCAATCAAAGATCTGCTGATATCAAGGGTAGTGACCCTGGGAAATGTGCAGGTCATAGTGGATGGCTTTGCTGCAATGGGATTCCCTAACTGTGGTGGGGCTATAGATGGAACCCATATCCCTATCTTGGCACCGGAGCACCAAGCCGCCGAGTACATAAACCGCAAGGGGTACTTTTCGATAGTGCTGCAAGCTCTGGTGGATCACAAGGGACGTTTCACCAACATCAACGTGGGATGGCCGGGAAAGGTGCATGATGCTCGCATCTTCAGGAACTCTGGTCTGTTTCAAAAGCTGCAGGAAGGGACTTTATTCCCAGACCAGAAAATAACTGTTGGGGATGTTGAAATGCCTATATGTATCCTTGGGGACCCAGCCTACCCCTTAATGCCATGGCTCATGAAGCCGTACACAGGCAGCCTGGACAGTGGTCAGGAGCTGTTCAACTACAGGCTGAGCAAGTGCAGAATGGTGGTAGAATGTGCATTTGGACGTTTAAAGGCGCGCTGGCGCAGTTTACTGACTCGCTTAGACCTCAGCGAAACCAATATTCCCACTGTTATTACTGCTTGCTGTGTGCTCCACAATATCTGTGAGAGTAAGGGGGAGACGTTTATGGCGGGGTGGGAGGTTGAGGCAAATCGCCTGGCTGCTGGTTACGCGCAGCCAGACACCAGGGCGGTTAGAAGAGCACAGGAGGGCGCGGTACGCATCAGAGAAGCTTTGAAAAACAGTTTCATGACTGGCCAGGCTACGGTGTGAAAGTTCTGTTTGTTTCTCCTTGATGAACCCCCCCACCCCTTGGTTCACTCTACTTCCCTGTAAGCTAACCACCCTCCCCTCCTCCCTTTAATCATTGCTTGCAGAGCCAATAAAGTCATTGCTGCTTCACAGTCATGCATTCGTTATTCATTCATCACACAAATAGGGGGATGACTACCAAGGTATCCCAGGAGGGGTGGTGGAGGAGGGAAGGAAAATGCCACACAGCACTTTAAGCACAGCACTTTAAAAGTTTACAACTTTAAAATTTATTGAATGACAGCCTTCTTTTTTTTGGGCAATCCTCTGTGGGGGAGTGGCTGGTTGGCCGGAGGCCTCCCCACCGCGTTCTTGGGCGTCTGGGTGTGGAGGCTATGGAACTTGGGGAGGAGGGCGGTTGGTTACAGAGGAGCTGCAGTGGCAGTCTGTGCTCCAGCTGCCTTTGCTGCAGCTCAACCATACACTGGAGCATACTGGTTTGGTCCTGCAGCAGCCTCAGCATTGAATCCTGCCTCCTCTCATCACGCTGCCGCCACCTTTGAGCTTCAGCCCTGTCTTCAGCCCGCCACTTACTCTCTTCAGCCCGCCACTTACTCTCTTCAGCCCTCCACCTCTCCTCCCGGTCATTTTGTGCTTTCCTGCACTCTGACATTATTTGCCTCCACGCATTCGTCTGTGCTCTGTCAGTGTGGGAGGACAGCATGAGCTCGGAGAACATTTCATCGCGAGTGCGTTTTTTTTTCTTTCTAAGCTTCACTAGCCTCTGGGAAGGAGAAGATCCTGTGATCATTGAAACACATGCAGCTGGTGGAGAAAAAAAAAAGGGACAGCGGTATTTAAAAAGACACATTTTATAAAACAGTCGCTACACTCTTTCAGGGTAAACCTTGCTGTTAACATTACATACATAGCACATGTGCTTTCGTTACAAGGTCGCATTTTGCCTCCTCCCACCGCGTGAACGGATTTTGGTTGAATGCCAGCAAACATACACTGCAATGCTTTGTTCTACAGTGATTCCCCAGTACGTGTTGCTGGCCTGGAGTGGTAAAGTGTCCTACCATGAAGGACGAAATAAGGCTGCCCTCCCCAGAAACCTTTTGCAAAGGCAGAACCGCAAATGCCAGGGCAAAGTAATCCTTTCACATGCTTGCTTTTAAACCATGTATAGCATTTTAAAAGGTACACTCACCAGAGGTCCCTTCTCCGCCTGCTGAGTCCAGGAGGCAGCCTTGGGTGGGTTCGGGGGGTACTGGCTCCAGGTCTAGGGTGAGAAACAGTTCCTGGCTGTCGGGAAAACCGGTTTCTCCGCTTGCTTGCTGTGAGCTATCTACAACCTCCTCATCATCATCTTCTTCGTCCCCAAAACCTACTTCTGTATTGCCTCCATCTCCATTGAAGGAGTCAAACAACACGGCTGGGGTAGTGGTGGCTGAACCCCCTAAAATGGCATGCAGCTCATCATAGAAGCAGCATGTTTGGGGCTCTGACCCAGAGCGGCTGTTCGCCTCTCTGGTTTTCTGGTAGGCTTGCCTCAGCTCCTTCAGTTTCACGCGGCACTGCTTCGGGTCCCTGTTATGGCCTCTGTCCTTCATGCCCTGGGAGATTTTCAGAAAGGTTTTGGCATTTCGAAAACTGGAACGGAGTTCTGATAGCACGGATTCCTCTCCCCAAACAGCGATCAGATCCCGTACCTCCCGTTCAGTCCATGCTGGAGCTCTTTTGCGATTCTGGGACTCCATCATGGTCACCTCTGCTGATGAGCTCTGCATGGTCACCTGCAGCTTGCCACGCTGGCCAAACAGGAAATGAGATTCAAAAGTTCGCGGTTCTTTTCCTGTCTACCTGGCCAGTGCATCTGAGTTGAGAGCGCTGTCCAGAGCGGTCAGAATGGAGCACTCTGGGATAGCTCCCGGAGGCCAATACCATCGAATTGTGTCCACAGTACCCCAAATTCGAGCCGGCAACGTCGATTTAAGCGCTAATCCACTTGTCAGGGGTGGAGTAAGGAAATCGATTTTAAGAGCCCTTTAAGTCGAAATAAAGGGCTTCATTGTGTGGACGGGTGCAGGTTTAAATCGATTTAACGCTGCTAAATTCGACCTAAAGTCCTAGTGTAGACCAGGGCTAAGTGACGCAGGAGCATAAGTCCCACTGACTTCAAAGTGTGCAAACCACGATGGTGTATAGCCTAGTCAAAGAATTTCACCTTTCTTGACTTGTGGCAGTTCAGTATATCAGGATGGGGTGTTGGTTGCAAATATAGTAAAGGCGATTTGCTTATCAGTTTTGTGTTTGAGCATGAGGTGTTCTTACAGTAAGGGTTTTGGTGAGGCCCTGGCTTGTTTTTTCAGCAAAGATTAGCATTTTAAATGTGAAGCTTTTTATTAGAAAAAATCTCTATGCAAAATGTGAAATTCTGCTAACAATGAGGATACTAGAGAAACCAGTACAGAGCATCTACTGTAGCAATTTTAAGCTGTAAAACGGGAAGAAGGTAAAGAACTAGCAACATGTGAATAAAAAATCTGATTTAAATTAAAAATAGAGTTTTTTAAATGTTTGTTTTGTAAATCCAAGTTTTTTATTAACGCTGATAGTTGTTTTACTTCCATCAGTTTTAGTTTGGATACAGAGTTTCAGTTGGATACAGAATTCACCTTCACTTCCTGACCTAACTATTGTACTATGCTGCTCTGGGCTGCTAAACAGTTGCTAGGTGGGGGAAGTGGTCTCTGTGTATAGGCTGGAATCAGTTTCTAAAGCTCTTGCTGGAAAACATTAGTTAATAGCCTGTCCCTTAGCAATGGGGAATTCTCTGGTAGAGCCTAGGCTTATCCCTCGTCTTCCAGGTTGCCTCAATTTCTTTCTCTACAGAAGAGATGTTCTTCCCAAACAAGGGAATCTTCCATTTGGTCTTGCACCATTGGGATACAGGGGAGTCAGGACTCCTGGGTTCCATTCTTGGTTCTGCCACTGACCTACTGAGTGACCTTGGGCCGAGTCCCTTTCCTCTCTGTTGCCTCAGTTTTCCCTGTTGGTGCGAGAGAGATATTTTTCCTCCTTTTCCTCCCAAGGAGGTGGAGGGTTGTGAAGCTTCCCTTGCTAGCATGTGTAAAGTGCATTAAGATCCTTGGATGGGAAGGGCTAGAGAAGAGTATTGAATGAAAGCTAAAAAGGCCTGTTCCTGACTGTGCCTTGTCTTGCAGGCAGACGACGCTGGCGGTTTACATCATGTCTCTGGGGGGCTTGGTGGCCTATACCTTCACCCTGAGCCTAGGCCACCTCTGGGTGGTCTTTGTGACCGCAGGCATGCTGGGGTAAGTTCACATGCAGTCTGCTTTCCCGAGAATTTATTCTCCCTCCCGTGTGGGAGCTGACCCTAGGAAGGAATAGAGACTGCCTAATTTAGCCCAGGCTTTTTGCTGCCTCCCACATTAATCTGGAAACACCCCTTCCCTCTGGCCCCTGCAGTGGCATAGAAGGGAAGGCAGAGGTGTCACAATCCAGAAGCTGCAGAGGCCAGGGTGGGGCAGGCTCTATATGGAAGAAGGATAAGGTGTTGTATTCTCCCCAAATCTCTCCTGGATCCTCTGACTGGGAGAGCTGAAGGACGTGCGCAGCAGCCCCTACTACTTCTCCCTGTCCCAGCTGGCTCTGAACACTCTGCCAGGCTGGATACCTCTGAGCATGGTGAAATGTTTGTCAGGAAGCAGGTGGGACTGTGGCCTTCCAGACCTTGGAGAGAAGGAATGAGAACCATGGTCATAGCTAGGTTTCTAAAATAGTCTTCGGCTGGGCGGCATCCCATCTAAGTCACTTCCAGGCTTTTACTTTCCAAGCTAGCATTAACATTCTGACTCCGATGCCACTGGCTGACCCCACTTCCTGGCAGCAATAGGTGGCTCCCTGCCCCCCGCGTGCCTCTCTTCTCCCTGCCCCTTCAGGCCTGGCCTTCTGCACTGCGGCTGCAGGCACAAATATTTGTGGGTTGGGACTAGAGTTCCGACCATGGCCGTGTGGTCAGTGAATCCGGTGGCTGGAGGGACAGCATGATGATGGGGGATCAGTCCTGTGCAGTCACTGAATTAGGAGGAAATAGGGATCAGAGCCACATAGTCCTTTCCCTGCTTCTCCCTCCACCAGCTGCTGACTGTTGTTTTTCTGTGTACTGCTGTGCAGGTTCTTCATGACAGGATACCTACCGCTGGGTTTTGAGTTTGCGGCAGAGTTAACATACCCAGAGTCAGAAGGAACGTCTTCAGGCCTCCTTAATGTATCGGCACAGGTATGTTCTCCCCTGCACCTCGCCCAGCACTGCTAGAATGCCCTGCTAGGCCCAAGAGGATTCCTGTTCCACAGGGGTACAGTTCGGACCATTGGTCAATCCACTGCACTATCCTGCTCTATCACAGAGAGCATCTGATGCTCCAGAGAGAGGCCATGCTTCAGCCCCAGGCCTTTGCTTTCTTGTTTTATTGCTGTCAAAACTGGAATTTAATCTTCAGCTTCAGTGGCTTCTCACCCCCTCCCTTGCCCCAGAAAGTTCTTCAGGATGCTGGAGCTCCTTGCCCCTCTGCACTGTCACTGCCAGCAGTTTAGGATCCCCCTCTCCTTGGGTGACAGGGGATTCCAGCCAGCAGGCTCTGTTGTCCTCCCCCTAGCCAGAAGGAGGCACGTCATCCAAATTCAGCCCTTGTTTGTAACCCAGCTTCAGCTGAATGGACAAACGGCTGCAAGTCTGGGGTTCTAAGTCCTTATTAGACCTGGCAAGCTCTTCAGTAAGCTGCCTTTCCCTGGTGAATCAGGGGCAAAGGGTGAGGGGAGGAGAGGCTGAGGGATGGTGGCCAGGCAAGGACAGTACAGTAGCTCCATTCCATCCCTTACTTTTGTGTTAAAGGTTTTCGGGATCATTTTCACCGTTGCCCAAGGGAAGATCATCGATCACTTTGGGACGCAGGCGGGAAACCTCTTTCTTTGCTCCTTCCTACTCCTGGGGACTTTCATAACTGGTAAACCAGCTCCCGCAGAGATTCCTCACCTGACTGTGACCCGTGGGACTCGACACATGGAGTGAAGGCAGCTCCCGCACTGCAGCGCCTGCAGGGCTGCTCCAGCTGAGCAAGCTCCAGAACAGCAGCACCCTGCTGATGCTTCCTTGTTGTGGCAGCTGGTCTGCATCACTGGCTGAAGGTTCCAGTGGTGTGAGCTTCCCCAGTGCTGTCCCCATCCATGTCCCCATCCATGCTCCTGGCTCGGGACTCAGCCAGATGAGGCTCCCTCATGGCTGGGCCAGGGCCTCCATCTGCTGCCTGACTGCTGTAGAAGTCCTATCTTCCTCATTCAGAACAGTGGATCCCCTGCTGGCCCCCCAGTGTCTCCTTGAACCCTATGCTGCCCCTGTGTAACCCCGAGTTCTGTGAGACTTGCTTGTGTCCTCTGTTGTGTCCTTATGGGTCTCCTCTTCCCTCTACCTCTCAGTGTTCATTAAGGCCGATCTCCGGAGACAGCAGGCCAATCTGGATGGTGAACAGACAGTGAGTAAATCCCCTTTGACCTCTGGCTCTGTCCCTACTATTAGCTTAGGGTGACCCCTGCTCTGTCCCCTACCCACCTGTTGGAATCTCTGTTTCTGGGTCATTACCATAATAATCATGACTCTCTTCTGTTGTCCCCATGATTGGTTGTCAACCTCGCTAGGGGAAGTTCCTTGCTGGCATTTGCAGCCCTGTGGCTGTGATCTCAGCCCTGTCAGGTAGGGGGTTTGTGGATACTCTGAGCTGCTCTCATTGGGTGTCACTGAACATTGGCCCCCAAGGAGGCTGCAGAACTAGGCATGTGTCCTGTTTTTTACATTAATGGCTAGGGATAGATGAGGGAGGTCGGGGAAGAGAGATGCACAACCCCCGCTGCTTCTGCTGAGAGGGAGTTAACACTTAACATGGAACTCTCTATGGCAATGCTTAGACCATTGTGCAAATATCCGCACAGCCCCCTGAAAAGGTGAGTAATTGCTTGTAGCTCCATTTTGCAGTTGAGGAAAGTGAGTCACAGAAAGATGGTGTCTTGTCCCAGGCTGCATCAGGGATCCGTGGCATAGCTAGAATCAGAACTATGGCCATCCTGGCTCCCAGCCCTTTGCTTAGCCTACTAGATGTGGCTGCAAAACTCTTGTCTATGCTCCTAAATGCTGGGCAGAGTGTTCCCATGCTCCGTGCAGTTAATGCAGCTCCATGTGTAAGAGAAGAGGCATTTGGTGAATTAACCGCTGTTCGATAATCTCAGTGTTTCCCCCTTAGAGGGGTTGGTTGTTGTCCTTACTGGCTCTGGGCTCCTCTTCCAGAGACGAGACGTCCACCCAGCGCTTCTGAAGCAGTCAGTGTCCAAGGCTGGCAAAATGCATAAAATAAGCTCCCTGCTGGCTCGAATTTTACCTTTTTGGAAGACAGTGCCGCCTTCCACCAGATAATCTCTAACGGCGCCGATCTGGAGAGACCAGTGGCTCCAGGATACCTCGTGGCCACCCTGCTCCGACCGTCAGCCCAGGAAGGTGTATTTTAAATAAAATATCTTTTATAGAAATAGCTTGGCACAAGCATAAAACATACTGGACAAAATATATAAGGGGAGTTGACCCCCATGCAGCCCTCCAAATGTAATCCTGGAGCAGGGATAAAAAACAGCCACCAAATCCATCCCACGTGGGGCCCTCCAGTATATTCACCTGGGGGCCCCTTGTTTAACCTGTACCATAGTAGGTAACCTCCCCTGTTCGTTGAATCCAATAAGCTTCCTGGGGAGATGAGCCCCAATGTGGCAAACAGCATGGATTAGGGACTGTGAAGTGTTGAGCTCCCCAGCATAGTAATGCACACAGGAAAGCCTGGAAAATCACATGCACTGTTTAGCTTGGTTGTGGAATACAGCTGGTCGCTACAGATACAAAATTGTCTGAATCACTCCTGCGCCATGGCTTTCTGAAGCTCCCTTTGGCCACTGAAGGAGGAAATGCTGGATCAGCAGAGACCAGGCCTCTGGGGAGATGGATCTTCCAGCTCTAGTGCCAAAGATGTATTAATCTTGTGCCAAATTTCATCTGTAAGCCCACAATGCAACTGGGCTGCAGTGAAGGGTGCTAGTGCTGTTGCCTCTTGATCAAAAATAAGCTGTGGCAAGAGCCTGAAATATCCAGCCCTTTAGGCAGCAGATGTGAAGACTACTGATAAGGCCCCTTTCCTTTATTAGCCACAAGGTCTCTTTCCAAATGAATTGCGGGCCTGTGCTCAGGCCAGATAAACTAATGGAACATTTTGTGAAAATCTAAAATAAAATTAGTACTTGTGGCACCTTAGAGACTCTCAAATCCGATGAAGTGAGCTGTAGCCCACGAAAACTTATGCTCAAATAAATTGGTTAGTCTCTAAGGTGCCACAAGTCCTCCTGTTCTTTTTGTGAATACAGACTCACGGCTGCTACTCTGACACCTAAAATAAAATTGTGGGCCTTCATCTGGGAGGTGTTAAAACAAAAAGAAGGAGGCATAGTTGCTATTTTAATAGGACTCACCCTCCCCTCCTGTGGAACTGTCAGGCAGACCCAGGAACTAATCCCATTAAGAACTGGAGGGATATGCCGGTGGTGAAGGGTCTTCAAACACAGAGTAATTCAGGGTAAATATCAAAACCATCCAGGAGCTGCTCTTATTGGAGGCGTCCGAGAGACTCCCCGACAGCTCTGACCTCTGTCTGGCTTCTTTGCATGAACTTTATGACCCAGGTATTTCCTAAGCAAGCAAGTGAAGCAGGTCAGGAATAAGAGGCTGGGTCTATAACAAACAACAGTGTCATAACGAAGTAAAGTTTTATGTACAGATTTATTAACTCCCAGTCCATAAACTACCTCCTGTTGGTTGTATAGCCTGGGCTAGCTGGTCTCTCAGTAAAATAAATGGGCTAAATGAGAGTCCAGTCAAATATGCAAATACTTTAAGTCCCCACTTGAGCAGATTTTGATCTGTCTGACTCACACTCTATGGGTTAAAATGGAAGCATCCATCAGAAGAGGGGAGGCTGAAGTGTTGCTCACTTTTATTGCCTCCTGGGGAGCTATGAGCTAAATATTTTCCAACAGAAGATTCTGTAGTATTTGTCAAGTACCCCACTTACTCTCCATGCAGCTGGGTGTTTCATTGGTTTCCTCCTTCTCCAGGAATGGATTACTTTTCTCTCTCTCTTCCTTGCTCGTGTCCCCTTTTCTGGGATCATGACCTGTGGCTGTTGTTACAGAGACTCCAGGACAGCAGTCACATCACGGATTATGGAATGTAGCTTGTAGCCTTAACCCCATCACTTCCCATCCCCGCTCAGTAGCTCTCACACAAAGGTAGGAGAATCACACTAATCTGCTTATCTAATCGCTCACAGGAATGGCACTGGCACCAAACCAATGGCACTAGCTGATGCTGCTCTCCAAGGCAATGCAACAGCTGGAGTGATTGGGGTGTTCGGGGTACAGAATCTGCTCTTGGCCTCTCCAGGAGACAGGGTGGGAAGGAGAAGAGAAGAGATGGGTCTTGAGCTTGTGGGGTCCTGAGAAGAATGAGGACTGAAGCTGAGGCTGCTTGGGTAACTGGAGCTTAGGGACAGGTGGGGAGAGTGTTCCAAGGCAAAACTCTTGTCTTGTCACAGCAGGTAGCGAATTCTACTGTGAGTAAATGTGCTGGGGAGAAGAATATTGTACAGCCTCTTGGCTGAGTAGTTATTTAAAGTCACCATCCAGCCTCCTCAGCAGGAGGTTCTGTCTGGGATTGTGTCGGAGAGCTGGTCCTGAAAACATAGAGATATGATGCCAATCAAATGAAGTATTAAAGACTTTGGCAATAATAGTTGGTGCCTTTTGTTAGAAGAGTAACTGTAAATCGTAAAGCTCTCTGCTTTTTGCTCTGTAATTCCAGCCCTTTGCTAGAAGTGGCTTCTCAGCTGCTGCCTAGGGATGTTTAATGCTTTGCTGTTCTCTTGCTGTTTGAACCCTCTGCTGTGCCTGGCTGCCCTCCCCAAAACATTATCTGTCCTGCTCATGATGTTTTAAGGTGTTTTGTGCATGTATTTGCTCAGTGGTGTGCAGCAAACAAGCCGAGCTGGCAAGGACCATGTTCAGGCCTGAGATAGTATAGAATCATAGACTATCAGGGTTGGAAGGGATCTCAGGAGGTCATCTAATCCAACCCCCTGCTCAAAGCAGGACCAATCCCCAACTAAATCATCCCAGCCAGGGCTTTGTCAAGCCTGACCTTAAAAATTATCTAAGGAAGGAGATTCCACCACCTCCCTAGGTAACGCATTCCAGTGTTTCACCACCCTCCTAGTGAAAAAGTTTTTCCTAATATCCAACCTAAACCTCCCCCACTGCAACTTGAGACCATTACTCCTTGTTCTGTCATCAGCTACCACTGAGAATATTGTATAGAATATACAATATAGTACTGAGAATATAGTATATTGGCAACATTGAGTTGTTGCATGGTGTGCAGCTGGGAGCATTAGGTTGGTGTGCTCCAGTGCAAGTGTAGGCAGAGACCGCAGGTGGGTGCAGGTGAGTGTAAGCCGTGAGCTGCAGGTGACCAGATGTCCCATTTTACAGGGAAAGTCCCAATATTTGGGGCTTTGTCTTATATAGGTGCCTCTTACCCCCACCCTTTGTCCCGATTTTTCACCCTTGCTATCTGGTCACCCTATTTCAGCCTGAGTGCTTGTGAGACTCAAGTCCCCTGCATGCCTCGTCCCTTTCCTGCAAGAGCATAGGATAGAAAAGGAGTGGGGCAAAACATTGGTGCGTCTCAGGAGATCTGGGTTAAGTACGGTCCTCTTTGTGCTAATGAAGTGCTGAGCTGCGCACTCCCATCATAGGCCTCATTCCTGACACTAGGTAGAAGTAACCTTGCAGCTGTGCAGCAGTATCTCACCTTATCTATGCACTCCCTATCCGTGGCCCGGGACCTCCTTGTCAACCTTCTTCTAGCCCTGGCCAAAATGGCCATCTACAAGACCAGGGAGAGGAGGTTGGCCGATGGGGTCTCCTGTGACGGTGGGGCCTATTTCTGATCCTCTGTCCGCTCATGCATTCAGGCGGAGTTCCTTTGGACGGTGTCCGCTGGCTCCCTTGACACCTTCAAGGAGCAGTGGGTGCTGTCCGAGGTTTTCTGCTCGGTGTCCCTGTCAGGTTCCCTTTGTTTAGCCCTCTGACCTCACTCCTGTCCCTGTTTTATCTTTAGTTGTCCCCCGTACTCACTTGGAATCCTGGACCTGTGGATACTCCCCATAGGCTGGGGGGAGGTTCTTTAGTAGTTGGCAGGCTCTGCCCGCCCACTTCCTGGATCCCAATAGGATCAATGCAGGATAGGGATTCCCCACATATTCCCTGTCCTATGCAGCACTGGGCACTCTGCACTTACACATTGCTCTGCACCTCTGCTGCACAGGGACAAGTCCAAGAAAATCTTGTTGCAAGGTGGGAAGCGCCAGTGTTCTTAAAGCTCTGATGCCCAGAGCAGTACAAAGCGTGGTTCTCCTGCCTGGTGGTGGGGTCTGTCTTCTGGGACAGTTCCAAAAAAGAGGCTGGAGATGGGTGTACAAACCCCTCATGGGGCTATTTTCATTTGAAGCCTTGATCTCATGTATTTGGGAAATTTGCAGTAGGGTCTGTGACTGGGATTTTAAATTGAATTTGGGCGTAGAGGGCTTGCAGCCTTGTATCTGCAGCTTGGCAGCCTAGACTAGAAGAGGGTGAAGGAATGGCATGGGGGAGGGAGGTTGGGGGCATGATGCTTAAGAACCTGGTTACTTCAAATGGGCTACAGAATTGGAGCAAGCAACAATTACTAATGGTTAAATTGTGAACTTCTGTATTGGCCTCACATTACAACCATACTTACGAATGTGCGTGTCAGGAAATGCATAAGTTAAACTGTGGTTCCACGCTGCCAGGTGGCCTGGTGGAGGGTTCATGGTTGTCATGTCTTTGTCAGGTCCGTACCGAATGTGCTCACTTTGCAACTAAAATGTTTTTTTCTAACTGCCGGTTCAGCAAACTGCATTTGGGTTCTTTCTTTCTCACATGACATCCCTAAAGAAAGGTGCTGCAGGCCCAATGCTGCGATCCCTGTGTAACCCCACTGTGACCTGTGGGTTTGCACAGGGGTAGCAGATTGGCCTCCTCTGTGAGAGAGTGGGAAGCTGGCAGAGTGATTTTGGTGAGGGTCCCTCACCTTTGGGGCTCACGCCTCCACGTTTAGGATAGACCTTATTTATTGACCCAGCAGAGCTCTTTTTGTTTTTCCTCTCTGGGAGGCACTGGGAGTACTCTGATGGGAAATGGAGTGGTTGTATGTTAATTGTGGGGCAAAGAGGGGCCTATTTTTAAAATGTGCCAGTGAGTACCTAAAGCAAAGGCCAGATGGCTCCTTTTCATGGAAGGAAATTGATTGATTAATTTCAATGGAGTAAAGGGTTCAATTGGTGAAAGGACTAGAAGCCAGCTCCTCTGGGATAGCTGTCTTGGCTCTGCAGGGATCATAGGAACATAAAGCTGAACATGCATGTGTATGTGTGCGTGTGTGGTGTTTTTTGCAGTTGAAATAATCAGCTCTGACTCTGCTACCCACTCTGTGGGGTGAGAAGGGGCTATCTGTACTTAGTTGCTTTTCAGAGCCGAAACACACTCCTAACAGTGGTCTATCCAAGAGCTGTACAGTGTGTCTTTACTTATTCCAGCGAGAACTGCCTTGTGACCACACACAAATCATCTTCTATTAATGCACCTCGCCACTTACATGGAATGGCTTTGCAGCTGGAAGCTCTTTTTCAGTGGGAGTTAAATTGACTTAATGGCAGTGTGAATGCTTCACCCTCCAGTATAACTATGCCAGTACTGTTAGTCCTTTCACTGCTATCCCATCCAGCATCAATTCACATCTGAAGTTAGCAGTGTGTTTAGTTTTCTGTGTTCCACTGCTCTTGAGACATTTGGACCAAATGTCCCCTTCTCTTTAAATGCTATGTGCAGATGTCCAGGGATCTCTATTTGTGACTTGCTTTCATTACAAGTACATGGAATCTGAAGCCATCACAATCATCTTGTGTTAGCGTCCCATAGCAGTGTCAACTAGCTCATATTACCATGCTGTATTATAGTGGGTGCAGGTAGCACCACAGTGTATAACTGAGGCTGGCTTACAGCATCCATTCTAACCTTTCTTTTATAGTTTGCTTGCACTTTGATGTGTTGCTTTCTGAAACAAATGCCTTTTATGGGTAAAATTTTCCATGCTGGGTCTCGGCTCAGCAATGAAATTTTCAACAAAGATTTTAAGCAACATCTGTTCAGAAGTATGTTAAGAATTTTTTTCATCAAACAAAAATGCCTGCCTAGAATTTTGAACATGCATGATTCCAAAATAGTAGAACTGATTTTGTTCAAACTTGGCTTGTTTTGTAGATCTCCTTGAAACTTACAATTCATGCCAAATCTAAAGGCTATGTGGAGTGCATTAAAATGTACTCTACAGTAGGTTTTGTAAAAAATTCCAACTTTTTCTATTGGATGACAAATAGCTGATATCAATAGACCATATTTTTAAATATGAGCACAAGGATGCTTCAGCTTTCAGCCACAATTCTTTCTCAACCGTAATGCTAGTTTTTTCCCCCCCATAGAACATGGTCCTGTTGTACTTGAAAATGCTACACGTGTAATACAGGGTGAGTCAGCGTTGCTGTGAGGAAACAACTGTATTTCCTGAGTTAGGGTGTTTAAAGGTCCTGCTTTCCTGATGTAGCCATGTTGGCAGGCTTGGTTGAAGCATGGTTCTATCTTGCAGTGAGATGACACCTTCACTGTGTCCTCAATGGCACTGGAACCCTGTTAAGGTGCCATTTACACTGCATGATAGAACCTTGTTTTGGCTGCTTGTCGGTGACAACTTTGATGTGCGTGCATGTGTCTGAGTGTGGCGGTATTTCTGACAGTGTGCTGAGGTCTAGCCAAAATCCTCTTAGCTCTGGTGAGGGCCCTGACTCAGGGTTGAGGTACTTGCTTAGTGGAAAGCTTGGATTCCATCATCTCCCTGGCTCACCAGGGCCTCACAACTTCAGCTAACTATCTGGTTCTAGTGAAATATTGCAACTAGCAAAACTCCTTGAATGTTACTGAATTTTACTGGGCAAGGACAGGGCATGGGAAGAATATTCCCAAGCACGGTCTCTCCCTCTTGCCACTCCCTGGAGATTACATGCCTCATTGCTCTGCTGACCTTTCATGTTAGCAATGTGGCAAGTAGTCAGCATCCCCTGCCCCAAATCTCTGCGCAGGCAGTTTCCACACCTCATTCCCAGTGGCGGTATCTCCATCTATCCTCACTGCATGTGCCTGCTTGTGTGCGTTGCCTTTTCCCTTTCCCAAGATTGTGTAGCCATGTGTGTGTTTGCAGGTTTACTAACCCTTTGTTCCTATAGCTCAAGAAGAGGTGAAAGGTAAGTGGGGATGAAGCTGTGATGGGTTTGGTTTCAGACTCTACTGGCTCCCTGTTCATTTAAAGCCCCAGTTCAAAATCACCAATGGCCTCCCTGACCAAGCTCCCAGAGCTCGACTCTGCTGCCCTCCCAGCATATCTGACTTTGGCCTCTTCTCTCCCTGCCAACACTCTTCCCACTGCTGGTGAGAGAGCCTTCCCCTCTGCAGTTTCTGCTGTCTGGAAAAGCATCCTTCCATCCCGCTGACTTGCTACAGCTCTCCTGATCTGTCTCCTCCCCTTGAGCTATTATTATTTAACTCTGTAAAAGCTTCTGGGCTGCAGTTTGTATGAAAGATACTACACAAAATAAAGCTATGTTTGTATCTCTTGCTTCTAAGCTGCCTGGTTTTCTCTTGAACTGTGGGGAGATGCGAACCTCTTTCCTGTGTGTTTCTGACCATGGCTCCTGGCTTGGACTTGTCTCACGCCACAGGAAGATAACTGCTTAGCGCTACCACACTCTGCCTGTACCTGCTGTGTCCTGAGGCCACCAAGGTCTCTTCGGTTTGTTTCTGCTTCAGGGAGCCCTGTAGAGCCTGCCTTAAATGGTGCAGAGGGGGGTGCCTAGAAGGAAATCCTGGGGTAACTCTCAGTGGAACATCCTGGGATCTCTTACTGGCAGGGCTGTGGTAAAGGGCTTATGGGGCAGCTGCCTTTCTGACTCCTGAATGCGGAGGAGCTGGGTTCCACTTTTGCCTCTAGGTCTAATATGCTGGCCTAGCAAACACACCTATTTGGGGAGGGCCCAGACCCATATGCCTCTCTAAAGGGCAGCAGCCTACAATACCTGCCTGTCTCTCTTCCTCTGAGCACTCCAGACAAACAATGAAAGAAAAGACCTCCTTTCAGACAGGCGCAGGAGGGTTCTCCAGGCTAAAGTCCTGTCCAGCACTTGTGGGATGTTGAAGTGTCTGGTGTACTTGGATAAGACGACGCAGCAGTGGCTCCATGCAGCACTTTACCCTGCAAGCCAGGCCTAGGTTAGGAGTAGCTCCTCTGAAGCAGGGTAAGCTCTATGGCAGGAAGCTTTGTTCCAGGGACTGTGCATAGTGCTGAATGCCAGTCTGTTGAACAGTGCCCCTTCTCTTGGGTTCTGTTCTCTGTCCAGAGCACAGGCCCATTGAAGGCTCCACTCCCAGCCAGTAAAATTCAGTGAGTTGCCTTATGTGACAATGGCAGTTAAGTTATCTCGTTGTTACTGAAGGGCTGACACCAGAAGCACAGGCAGCAGCAAGGGCCACAGCAGTAAGGAGAGGTGCCTACCCTTCTGTTACAACAACCCTGAAAAGTCAGGGTGGCATAGGAAGACACTGCTGCTGGGGGGGCAGGATTTTCCTTTAGGCCTGTGTGGGGTTGTCTTATAAGGGCTGAGTTCTGGCTCTCCCAGTCGTTCCCTAGGGAAATAGGAACATAAGACTGGAAAGGACCTCCTGGGTCAAATCCAGTCCCCTGCTATTGCAACCCTGTCATACAATCCTGTTCATAAATTTATAAAGCTCTATTTATTGGGTGGTTTGTCCCCAGCACCCCTTCCATCTCATGGCCAGGGAGCTTTTCTAATTAATCAGCCTAAATTTTTCTTCTAAAAGGCTTAATATAGTTGTTTTCTTTCTTCTGATGAATCAACATAGTATTTAAGCGCTGAGATGGGCTGGAGGTGCTAGCCCTGAGGCCTGAAGCGGGTAGGGTGGGGAGAGGGCAAGCAGTGTGAGCACTCAGCTTTGAGTTGGGCAGGGGGAGACCAGCGCACCAGGGCTGAAGTTCCTGTCCTGTTTAAATACACCAGGATGCACCGTATGCCGCTTCTCCCCCACCACAGGGTGCATTTTGCCTCCCTTCCCCCAAGTGCTGCTCTGCACTTCCCCACTTGGAAGCTCCATTTGCAGTGGAGGTGGAGTCTTTTCTCTAGCTGAGCTGGCTTTGTGGGGCAAGACCCAGGTCCACAGAGCTGCCATGACTGTGTATTTACAATAGCCCAGGGGGCTGCTCAAGAGGAAAGGGGCCCCTGCTCTGCCTGTTCCAACACCCCCCACCTGAGCAGTGGAGCTGTCTGGGGTGAGGGAGCTAGTGCAATCTTAGCTGAGCTCTAAAGAGGATGGTCTTAGCTATTGTTCCTTGGGGCCTCTCCTTGCCTCTGCAGATGTCTGACCCTCATGCATGATTTGTTGAGGATCTCAGGAGTATCCCAGCCTTTGGGCTCCAAGGCCTGTACTGAAGCCCAGCCCTAGCCACCTGGTGCTCTAACCATACCCCTTTTCTCTGATTTTGCAGAAAGCGCTGGAAGAGGTGCCTGGGGACAACATTGCTCCTGTGGTCCTTGATGAATCAAAGTTGTGAAGGGGTGGCAGAGCTGGGAGACACTGCCTACCAACCCCCCCTTCCCATCTTTGTCACTTGCAGTATCCTTCTGGTTCCCGCACAGCATGGCATTGGGGGCAGCATCAGGGCCGGAGTCCAGAAAGCTGCTCATGGAGCCATCGGAAGGAACAGATCAGCCTGGGTTTCTCTCATCAGTCTGCTTTCCCCTCTGTGTCCTGCTGTGGGAGAACCTATTGCTCAGCAGGAAAGCTTCAGTGGAGCCCCGAGCCTGTTTGCTTGGAGCTCAGAGGAGCAGGGGCTGTGAGTCCAACACAGTACTCAGTATTTGGAGCCCATGGTGGCATTCCTCAAGTGGCCTTCCTCTCCCCTTCCAGAGAAGCTGTACGGTGGGTAGCCAAGTGCATCCTCTGAAGGAACCTCTTGGTGGAGAGAGAACTAGACCGCACTGGCTTTGTGTCCAGCCCTGCTCTGAGTTGTGACCCTTGCTCTGGAAGTGATGGGTCTGCCCTGTATTCATAGTGACTGGAGCAGGTGGTTCACCTGGCCATAGTGTGGGGGGATGGCTCAGGCCCTCACGCTTCCCCAGGCTCTGCAAATCATGTGACAACTGTGGCGTTCCCATTTTTGTACAGGGACCTCCTAGCCCAGCAGATTTTTAGTCTGTGGACTAATGTGATTTTGTATTTTAATCAAACTTCCCTGATGTTTTTTGAAATTTTGTAGAGTAAAAATTTGTAAGAGGACTGGGGAAGCACCAATATGTGCCCTGGCCAGAGCCCAACTGTCAGTCACATCGTTTGAGGCCAGGGCCTGGCGCTGGGGCATGTGTGCAAAGTGCACCGGGGTCTAGCCCACCTTATAGTTGACACCAGCCTTCAGGGCTACTGTGACAACACTACTGAGTTAGATTGTGAGCTCCTTTGGCCAGGAACCCTATCCTCTTCCTTGGCTGGAAAGCACTTTACACAAGCGCAAGGTTGGTGCTATAAAAATAATACACATTTTGTGGGAGCCCTCTGCTGGTACAGAGAGGAGGAGCTGTGCTCCTGCTTCCCCTCCTCTTACTCAACTAGCTTTGGGAGGCAGGCTCAGGTTGCTTTAGCACAGGGCATCCCAAACTTCTTTTCATAATTTAGAATCACATCATCTGAGTATCTTGTGGATACTTTCCTTCCCACTCACCATGAGCCCCACCAGTTGCTGTTGCCTGCTCTTCCACTCATGAGCACTGACCTCATCTCTCTTCCCAGCTCCAATCGTGTAGTTTGCCTCCCTTTTATTATCCGTGCCGCCCCCCTCCTCCCATTGGGTGAGAGCCACCTAGCAATTTCCAGTCAGTCACATGACAAAGATTAGGAAAACAGTGATAGGTATTTTGAAGTGTCCTGAAAAAGTTAATCATGCTCACTGCCTTTGCTCTCCATTTTATCTCCCCTCCCATCTGTTTTGTTCCTCTGCCCCTTTCCCAGCCACCTAGTCCTTTGGTTCCCCTGCTCCCCTCAATATATTTCTTTGGGCATCCTATCTTGCTGGTGGCTGGCAACTCCAGGCCCCTGGCTCGGTGGAAGCAGTTCCTGTTTCCTCTCCTTCGCAGTAGCTGTAGCCTCTAGAAGCAGCAGTTAGGCTGGCACCTCCTCATGTCCATCTGCTTCTGCAGGCCTCCAGGTGCCTCTGTTCAGTAAAGAGCCTAGACACTTGCTGAAGTCACTGGAAACAAGGAGAGCTGTCACCACAAGACCTGTCATCTTTCTGGACCACCAGAAAGTGCTGTGCAGGCTGTAGTTTTGGAGCCATTAGACTGATACTCGATAACACAGAGTCTGCCCCTGGACCAGCGTTGTCTTCCCTCTATCTCTAAATGGCCTTCCTCCACCAGTTACCTTGATTTATTAAAATACAATTTTGGGGATTGTTGAAGTGGCTCAACCCTGTGTGATCTCAAAAGGCCTTGGGAAAATGTTCACTGGATTCCTTGTATTTTTAAATATAATTTGTATTTAATAGTTATATTGGTGCAGCTGTGTGACAGTTGTCCATAAGTAATCTACCCCCAGGGAGCCTACCATTGGCAATGCTGTAAAGATGGAGCATACCATGCAGCTGTGTGAGCCCCCTAATAAAAACGCAGAGGGACAGGCCCACATGGTACACAATGGGCATTATTTGGTTAACACACCTTCCTACACAATCCCCTCTCACTGGAACTGCTGTGGTGGTTACACTGAATAGGGCAGGGGCTCCTGGGCCAGAGAGCAGAAGCAACTATCTGTCTACTAGTGCCTATTCTCCCCCATATCCTCTAATATCCTCACTCCCTCTTCTGCACAGCCCCCCTGCCCTGATAACTCCCACCCCCTGCTTTCCCCATCTTGGGCCTGGCCCAGACCCTCTCTGCTTTCACAAGGAGCACATTATGCACAAAGCCTCTGCTGGGAGCTGGATGGCAGCCACATTAGAGGAAGGAAAGGAACAGCTGGGTTCATTTCATTCTCCCTCATAAGCTAGGGAAAGGGGAGGAAGCAGCAATAGATTTCCATCGCACTTCATGTCCGTACAGTGCGAGCAGTCAGGCTGCGGAGCAGGAGATTGGAGGGAGGCCTTGGCCAGGTAGGAGGGCTGACTTACCCTCCAGGGTGAGGTGGGCTAAAGGTGGCTGCTCCTTGTCACTCAGGCTGGGTCTTCCTCCCTCTAGTAGAAGGCAAGACTCTGCACCTTCCACAGTTTTCTATTGTTTATTACAAACTGCCCCGTGAACATAGACACATACAAAACACAGCAGCACCAGGGGCTGGACTTGGTGTCTCCTCCCACACAGATCTCCAGCAGATCATAGATGGCTCTACTCCTCCTCCCTGCAGGTGCCCTGGGAGGAGAACTATGCTGGGCATGGCTGGGAACTGGTCCCCTTGCCAGCCTGGGAGCTGAGAATGTCTCAGGCAATGCCTACAGTGGGACAGCCCCCACAGGCTTGGGGCTAGGTTTTTATCACTCGTCATCATTAAAA